CCGGCCTGCGTAATGCCAGAGGGGCTTCGGGGAATCGTTACTCACGTGGACACGTGGTGTGTGTTTTGTGCATGCCAGTGCCCGGCTACCATACGGACACGGAAGAGAAACGATACGACGATTAAAGCGCCCTCCCATCAGACTCACAGACGCACACACACGCACGCACGCACGCACGCACACACGCACGCCGTCAGTGTGGAAGTTCTTTGGCGCGAGTGAAGACGACACAAAGCTCCCAATTATTCTCTGCTCAGAGTCCAAAAATAAGCCGCGGAGAAAAGCACCCATGAAGAACCTTTGGAACAATTAACTTAATTAGACACTTATTATGTTGTACCATGCACACTGCCCAGTGTGGCCTGCTGACAGCGGGCGGGGAGGGGGGGACGAGTCCTGCTCGGAACCGAGCTGAGGCCTTAACTCAGAGCGAGGTTGTGTTCACACCGTGAGGTCAGGCTCGGTGAAGGCAAATTATTATTATAACGCTATCATCAGAGCTATTCAGTAATGTTACATCAAAAATACAATGAGTTTGAATTGTGTGTCTTTTTGCAAATCCAACAGTTTGCAGATTATCAGCTAAGTGGGGGGGGGGGAAAGAGTTTTCTGTCAACCCTGAATAAACATTAGCCGTTTCCAAAGGCAACAAAAGGTATTCGACGCGGTTTGTCAACGCCAAAGCGGTTGAAATGATCTTTGGGGCAGTGGCGAACACACCAGCCCGAGGCCTCGTAAACAGAAAAAGAGATTCCAAACCGCATCGTAATTTCTATTGGCCTCAACAAATGTGTGACTGGAGGAACTTCTATTTGCTCCTTTTTATCTACTGTGTGCTATCCAATCCGTGATTCAACACTCCACCACTACCGCTTTAAAGCGGATTAAAATGAAGTGCAAACACCTTTTTTGGATGAGCATTTAGGATTCGAGTAGAATTGTGAAAACGTCACTGGCTTTTTAAATGGATGATCGCATGGTGGTTTTTACTGCACCGAAACTGTGGAGAAGAAAAAAAAAAACCTAATCACGTAGTTTCTCCCCTGGGACATCACGGATAATAAGACACCAGGAAGTAACAGGCTTCTTCTACCCAATTGAAGGTCAATTTTGCCTTCCGGTTGCCATCAGTTAGCCATGCGATGCCTGCACGGAGGCTTCTGTCAAAGGCATCCAGCCTAAACGAGATTAAACACCGAGGCCAAGATTGAGGGGACGGGTTGGGCGGTGGGGGGTCTGCTTGTCAATATCCTCCTACGGTGCTATATATGGATCACGCTTCATCATCCGTTTCACTCCGCTCTCCTATCTGTCGTTCTAATGGAGCACAGCGACCTGAAGTGCAGAGGTACTATGAAGCATGAAAACAAAACAAAAAAAAAAACATCCAGACGTTAAAGGGGATCAAATTGATCCTGCGATATAGTTTGATTGCCTGTTATTTTGGTTCAGCTGCAGTGTTTGGAATACTGGGCCGATTACAGGGAGGAAACACTCCAGTGTGGCGGAAAAAAAGTCTAATCTCCAAAAGCAAAGAAGAAAATCTTGACCGATAACAGATTTACTGGAAGTGACTACTTACACAAGCATTATTGTAGGAAGAGCACTCGAAAAAGTCTGAAACGGTCTCACTTCTACTCCAATTTCCAGGTTGTTTAGTTCTGTGCTACACATCAGAGAACAAAACCCTCTTCTTCATCTTCTGAACAATCTTCCTTGAGTTGATTTTTGCAAGGTCATTTAAGAAAGGTGATTAATAGCATCCACTTCAGGAAATCCTGATGTCATTAAATGCAGTGTCGTCATTTCCAGAGAATCCCAGGACCAGAGACTCGGGGGGGTTTCCGGCTCAAAATTAGCACATGAATTGGTTTGCGTGGAAGCCGCTGAAAGAAAGACTCAAAAAAAAAGACTCAAAAAAATGTTTCCTTACAGAATAAAAGAAAAAAGAAAAATTTCAGATAATATGAAATAATATATTTTTAAAAAATCAATGCATCAAAGTAATTGTATTGTACAGAGTAACCCGTTAAAACTGTACACATGACAATACACATCTTGAATGTTGAATCAAAATTGTTATCTGCCATTAAATTCATTCATTAACACTTTTTGAAGTCAAGAAACGTGTATTCAGATAATTTTTTAGCCGAGAGTGAAACCGGCCGGGATGCAACACAAGCTGCCTCTGCACGGAGTACGAGCACAGTATATATATATTTAATTTTTAAATGAGTTAAAAATAAAACCAACTGAGATGCATCTATTATCTTAATTGATTTAATACCGGTGTGGCTACTGAGGCATCATTTGCTCCATCAAATCGTCAAAAGATCAAATTCAATACCTCCAGGTGACAACATGAGGAGCCTCCCTCATTTAAAGACGACTCACACAGAATCCGGGAGTAAAGCGCTGAATATCAGATTAAAGGCAACGGATGAAATGAAACTACAGATTGTGTAAATAGCTGCCGGCCCATCTCAAAGCGCGCGGGTTGCTACTGGGTTCAGCGTGAGGGTCTTGGTGGAGGCAGCAGGCTCCCAGAGGAGCAGATGGTGCACTGTCTGGTATCACATGGGGGTCACAGCTTAAAAAAAAACCTCAACGACAATCTTGTGTATTCTGCTCCGAGGCCATTGTCTCCTCCCACTCGCTCCGATGCCGACTTTCATTATTAAAAAAAAACCCTGATTCAAATGATGACGGCTATGCGGTTATCGAAAAGAACCAAAATATTGATGCACTGCTGAGGCAAAGAGTTCAGCAGTAGATGTCATGAGCTCAAACAGCTGGGCCAAAGTTTTAAACACAGCACTCCCCCGACCGGCACACCAACACCAAATGGAGAGAGGGGGAGAAACTAGCGAGCACCATTTGAATGTAATTCATCACTGTGTTTAAAAGGCCTGAGGTCGGAGTTGTGGTCGCGGTTTACCTCACAGAAGGAAGATCTCGCTTGCTGCCGCTCATCATCCTCGGAAGGATGAACCCGACGCGATGCCATCATTCAACTTCACTTAAAATCCACTTATCCGTGAAAAGACATCTCCAAAAAGTTTGGCTCCAGTGGGAAGAAAGGAAACATGTCCAATTCACTCCTCCATCCAAGCTCGATTTGTTAGTCCATCTATGGGTGAGAGAAGGGGGAGAAATGTTATCGCCGCATTTACATATCACACATGTTCGGGTATTTGGCATCTGACATCCTAACTATTTGCTACCTGATGTCTGCGACTTCCACGAGGCTCCACGCGGAGACTCAGAACACGCAACAGCACATCATGAGCACAAAGTGAACACTGCTGTTACTACAGAACTAATGCCAGATGTTACACCTGTACGACACACACACACACACACACACACACACACACACACAGGTAAATAAAAGCACATCAACAACCATCCGGGCTCGAGGCACAACGACGCGGGTCGCCCGCACCAGCTCGCGAGTATGGCCCGCAACAAGTGGATCGGGGACGGGGGAGTCGCGGCGGGGGGGCGGAGGGGGGGGTTTACGGTCCGGGGCTTTAACGCAGGAGACGCGACACGTTGTCCCCACGGTTTGCGACACACGCGCGCGGGAGCAGCTGTAACGGCCGCGGGCCGAGAGGTGGTTTTATATGAGCGGCTCTTTGAGAGCGACGGTCAAGCGAGTCGCGTCGAGCTGTTGTTCTCGAGCGACCGAACAAAAAGTAGCTTCTCCTTCACCTTCTCCGACTTGTTTTTATTTAAAAAACTACCCAAAATGACGACGTAGTACGCGGTGGACACCGCCGGCGTTTACGTTACGCCTTTTGAAGCGTGCGCAATGTTTAAAACGAACCAGGCGAACCGAGCGAGACAACAGGCGGCGCTAGCTGCCGTTAGCATCGATGCTAACGCCTGGAGTTTAAACAAAGTTACCTGTGTGGTTGAGAATGGTCATTGCAGACGGGGAACCGCGGCGGGAGACGGGCAAACAATGGAGGAGACGGAGTAAGATCATTCCGCGGGGGGTGCAGGATAGCCAGGCATTGTCATGATTTAATAGTTTTCTGTACAAAAAAGTCTTCCCGGTGATTATTCCAAACCTACTGCGGGGAGGCGCATGGTGCAGTTTCGTGGCTGAATTTTTTTTTTTACAGCTTCCCCGGAGTCCACCTTCGGTCAACAGGACGCGCTCAGCCAATCACAAGCGGCGTTGTGTTTGAGCGGACCAATCGGGTGCGAGCTTACAAAAAGCAAGCGGCGTTCGTAAAAGAAAAAAAAAGGGAGGACAAAAAAAGTAGAAGCCGCTTCAGCGAGTCGGGAGCAGACGGGGAACCGCCTGCGCGGGTCCCAGAAACACGGCCGCGCTCTCGGGTCCACGAGTCCACAAGTCTGGCTCCTCACATTTGGTTTGATATGAGCAACCAAAGGCTGAGCGAGGTTCAAAGTGAGGTCGAGCTGAGCTGGCACCACCAACACTCAAACGCAACACACGTTTTCACCAGAATGTGCATCTACTGCCCCCCCAAAAGAGAAATGCTCACATTTTGAGGATCCTATTATTCCTCATACGGGACCACCTGTTCTTGGGTCCAGCAGCTTTTGTTAGACTTTCACAAAGCTGTCCTGCCTTCAGCCGCCATACGTTGGATAAAGTCTCGGTAATTTCTACATCAATGTCAGGAGGATTTATTTTCCTGTTAATAATGCCAGTAAACTATTAAACGTAGTTCACGTGAGCTCCACTTGCACCCACTGTAAACGGTTAAAGACTAAATTCTTGGATGGTAATAATGTAATGTCATCAAGTCATTTATTCTTGCCAGCTAAATTGAGTTTGAGGATCAGAGTCAATTAACTAAGTACAAAGGGAAAAAAAGTTTTTGTTTTTATGGAACTTTTTGTTCCCTAATGTTACACACGTCAGGCCTTTTATGAAAGAAGCAGCTTTGACCCGTCCTAAAACATAAAGATACAAACATGCACCGGGCAAACAGACTTTTAAGAGTTTAAGAAATGAACGAGTCTTTTAAAGAGTCACTTGTTTTTAATGTCTTCAACAGCACTTTAATATTGTATCAATTGTATAAAAATGCATGATTCAAACACCACATTCAGCACAATGACTCAGAGACTCTCCGACTCCAAAACGCACCATGTTTTTATCAATATTTGAAAATGCATTTTGTGAATAAACAAAAGAATGCAGTGAGATAACACAGAGTTGTTAAAAACACATACTTCTGGTATGTTCTATTATAAAAGGAAATACAGAAATGACCAAAGTGTCCTTTTACACGTGAATGCAGAACAAACAAAACGAGGTAGTTAGTTTAAGAGCTACTTTGTTTGCCCCGTAACAGTAGAGGAGAATGTAAAATAATGAATCACCGACCAGGCAAAGAACAGGTTAACAAGATGTTATTCTAGTCAACAATTTTGTAATCAAACAACTTCTTTTAATTAGAAAATATTGGCATTTCTGACTTAGACTAAAAAAAAACCTTCATAAAAAGTCATGATTGTCAAGTTGTTTATGTGGTATTCAAGTAGTGAAACAGATTTGTGCTGGAGTCAAACCGCAGCAGTAAACGTTTTCTGATAACATGAAGAACTAAAGTCTGCTCTAAAATGTCGGTGAAGCATCTACTGGCTTTTCTAAATTCACCGGTGAAATGTCAGTGTCTGTTAAAGCGGTTCTTGGAAAGAATGCTGTAACAAAACGGGGCGTGCTGGAGATCGAGTGTCACGACGGCAGCTGGAAGCGAGAAGCGACTCGGGGGAAAAAAAAGGTTCAGGCTTTCCGCTTCGATGACACTCGCAGTCGGCCTTTTAGATCTTGTACTTCATCTTCCCACTTTTGCTGATTACACAGATGTGCTAAAAACAAGCAGAGAGGGCAGTCAATAATAACGTTTGATGACGCTACGTTTCACTAGGACGTCATTTGGAGAAAAAAAGAAAGATAAAAACGACTCCTAACTCACAGTCAAGTCTCTGAAGTACTCATTGTAGTCCAAGGCATATCCGACCACAAACCGATCGGGTATCTCAAAGCCCACATCTGAAATCGGAGACAAAGTGGAACGTGCAAACATGTCCGTGACCCGCTGACTTATCAAGCTGCATCAGGAACATCATTGAAAAGGAAGCAGTGAGTCACGAAGCCATAAAAAGGGTTGGTCAGGTACATACAGTCAGGAAGGCACGCTGCGTTATGTGGCACTCGCTTCACCAGCAACCTGGGAGGAAATGAAATCACACATTATCACGCAATCGCTCTTCCTGCGTGTGCCGTAGGGCGGGTTTTACATATTATAAAGCAGCGGTGCTGGAAACCCGTGTCACCTAATCTTTTTTTATCTCTATTTTTCCTATCGGTCTAGACTGGAAGGCCGGAAAATAAATGATTCACAAAGCAGGACAGCCGGGCTGCTTTAGTATCTGGTTCTTTATACAAATAACTTACCCTGCGACTTTGATCAATTTGGGCCTGAAGGCTTCAACATACTTCAGGAGGGTCTCCATTGTCTTTCCGGTACCTACAATGGCCTGCAATGGAAAAGTTGGGTTGAGAAATGCAGATGGAAAACAGGTTAATGTCACACTGGAGCACATGGGGAGACGAAGAAGTTAGTCGTACTGCAAGATAAGATATTCCTTTATTAGTCCCACAATGATCGCGGCAGCAAAGTGGGCCGTGCACGCAAGACACATGGTAAATAAACTACTCGCATTACATGACGGTTCTTTTGTCATTCTTTTTAGAAATGGCTCAACTTCCACTGGAAAAGGAGAATGACTTTTGTTGACCTTTCCTCGGGGAGAGGTAAGAATGCTTTGTCACCTAAGTGTGGGTCAACATGACCTTTGTGTAGAAAAGACACTTACATGTTTCACTGGTGACAGCAGAGGCCTGTCAGCCAAGATCCAAACAACTTTAAAAAAAGCTTTTCTCCGATGGTCATGTTAGAAAAGGCTAAAATAAGACTAAAAGACATATTGTCCTCACCGTCATAAGTACTTATTATCCTTTCCACTGCAGAGATGTTTAACAATGCACAATATTCACTCTCCTCCTTGGCTGCTCGATGCTCTGACCTGCTGCATGATAACTTTGTACAGTTTGTTAGACAAACTGTTGTAGCTGCTGAGGGAAAAAATAGCGCTGATAGGAATAAAGCCAAAGGTTTGGAGCAAATCCAAATAAAAGATGCCAACGTGCTGGATAGAGCTGAAGGGTGATTTGTTTTTCCTTGTTAACCAAAGTTCATATCAAGAAAAATCGGACTGAAAATCAATTTAAAAACGCTTCATTAAAGACAATTAATACATAAACTGCTGTACATGTTTGAGAAATGACCACAGACTGTCAGGAATATCATTCCTTCCCTCGTTCACTTCACTCAATACAAGAGAAAGTTTGTGGCCGCTATGGGAGAAGCGGCTCTTATTCACCAATAGAAGTAAGCCACTTAGAAATGTTGCTCATGTTGAAAATAAAACATGCAAACGACTTCTCTTGACCCCGGATAGAGACGAATAATTGGCCCGAGCGAAAAAGAAACATGGGCTGACTCACCTCCACAATCAGTACGTTCTTATGCAGCATGTTGGGGGGAGAAGAGGGGGGGGGGGACAAAACAATTATTCTTGGTTAAAGACAGAAAGCAAACCGCTGTATCTGCTGTTGAACCGCACGCACAAACTCAAAACAAGAGGCACAGCAGGGAGACGAATGCAGCAGAGCAACGTCCGTCTCCTCCACTTTACGAAGCCTTCCGTCCCCGCAGTCCCTCGCTTTGAATGTCACACTGAAATAGCTGAGATTCTCCAGATGTTTGCCTAATCAACTGGAGACAACTGGGCACTATTTATATTAAAGAGCCACAGTCCAACAGTCCAACTCGCCCATAAATAAGAAAAACTCACAACTCACAACTCTGACTGGCATGTAAGCGCATGCAGTTTGATCCACTTTTCAAACAAAGGAGCCGGCCGAGCGTGTGGCCGTGCTCTTTGTCTCGGGCCTCGTTGTGCGTTCATTAAGAGTGCAGTGACTCCCCGGAGAGAGACAAAGGGACGGGCTGCGTGATCGAAGGGACGCGGCGGTCCGACGCCCCGTGGGGAGGCAAAGGCGTAACGCACACCGAGTAATACCGTATCTTTCTTACGCAGTTGGCTCACTTCTTCCAGCAAAAGCGCGGCAGCGTTGTAGATAGATTGATAGATACTTTAATTTTGGCATTTGGTATCACAGCAGCATGTACAGGGAAGAAAATAGAATAAAAGGTACACATTATATACAATATAATAAGATAGAAATATTAAATTAAATAATTTAATATTTCTATCTTATTATATTGTGTATATATATATATATATATATATACACACACACATGTGTTATAAAGCCGGCGACCAAATTCAGCCACACATCACAGAGAGCTCCGGGATCTCACAAGCACGCGTAAAATACTGAGCAAAGCAGCAGCCAATGACTCAAGCGTGCTACTTCATCTCCTATTCATGGTGCAGGCATTCACGCCACGCCTGGCTACAGTGTATTAGCGTGTGAGATTGTGCGCTCAGCTAAGAGGCGGGTGATGGCGAGTGTTCCGATCAGCTGATTTTACAGAGGAAATGCCGTTTTTTTACCCCCCCATAGTGTGCACGTGTTGAAGAGGTTGAACTGACAGCATTTGACAAGAAAACAAATTCAAAAAGTCAGGGAGAAGATCTCTTTTTGCATCAAAAGGTGTCGGTTTCTGAATTCACATGTGAACCACACGCAGGCTTGGAAATACCACTTTAGTTCGGGGGGGCGAGTTTGCACTCAGCACGTAAATCACACAGGCCCACGGATCCTCCCGGCCGGAATGCACTCGCTTTGATTACGTGATAACAAGCAGAGGAAGAGTGAGTCTTTAACGACTCGACCTCCGCCGGCCTCCTGACGAGGCGGGACAACGAGTGCATCTTCCTCTCGGCACAAAGGACGCCTTTGTGTTATCACGTTGGAAAAGTGGTATCAGACCAGCGGCGGGCTCGTCAGAAACCGCCGTCTTTGACCCGCACGAGGGGGGGGGGGGCATATTGTCGGGTTGAAGGGGGAGACGAGAGGGAAGGCCGCCCTCTGGAGGTTGAGGTCTATCAACACCCACCGCCATTGAGTTATTGACGACAATGTTCCCAGTAGTGTGCATGAGTCTCTTACCTTTCCGGCTAGAAAAGACAAATCCTCGGCTCCGAGTATGTGAAGATCCTCGGTGGACTGGTCATTCTGAGGAAATCAAAAGCACTGAAATAACAACTGGATCTGCGCTGGAGTGCGTTAGCCGAGTAGCGTTTTCCCCACAGCCATCACAACGCTCGTCATCAAACTTGAAACGAATGAAAATTATTTTTCTTTAGCACCAGGTAGCTCTTGAGCCGGATGAAGTGGACCCTCATGGGGATGGAGCGGTCGGAGTTGCGGCTGAGCGACTTGATCCGGTCCACCAGGTCCACGCAGAACCGGTAGCCTCCTTTCAGCACACACAGCACCACGATGTCGTGGTCCCCGAGGTCGTCCATGATGTTTCGAGCCAGGCGCTCAGTCCTGCGGACGGAGGGACTACGTCACAACGAAGACCACATGACCCGTGCAGGTCACGCGGATGTTCACACTCCTGTTTGTGGTTTGCACACAGTGTCAAGAACTTTTTACATGTTTTTACAACACGAGAACGTGAATGCAGCTGGCGATAAGTAAAAGGAACTATAGAATAATACAATTGCTTTATGTATTTTGTTTGTATACTAATGTAGTCCTAGTGAATAATTCAGATTTTAACTGCAAAGATCGATTTGAAAAAAATACCACAACTATTTTGGTTATTGATTAAATATTTTGTCATTTCTTCATCAAAAGCTTATTAAGTATGAAGATATTAAGCTTTTTTGTCATACATTATGCTAAATATATAGACGAATGCATTTGGACTTTTGATAAATATTGGATTTTTCATAATGTCCTGGCTTTTAATATACAAACGATTAGTTTGCAGATTAATCTGTGGTGATTTTAGACATTTTGTGGTCTTGATTTACGTCTGGCGAGTTTTTTCTGCTGTTATCTATGATATTTATAATATTGTGATTAATCACTATTAAAAAGCATTAATATTCTCATATTCATTTTAATGTCTGACTAAAAATGATCTACACGTGTGTGTCATGATTGTATATTTAAATGTATTTACATGTTCTAGCATTACCTTCATTTAAAATAATTGGGTGGCAACGTGTTGTCAGAATGCCGTACAATGGTGAGCTTTTTATTGTATTATTTATTATTGTATTCATAAGTAGTATTGTTGGTTTTATTATTTCGGTAATATTATTTGATATATAATAATGTGCCTTTTAAAAAATATATTAATTTCTTGTGCTTTTAAGTACACTTTTGGGTTAGTTTGTTTGCTTTGGAGTTACTTTTGCCTCCGTAATCCACAAACCCGAGCTGCATCAGTGGCCCATTGGTGTGGTGATTCGTGCGCGTGCGTGTGTGTGTGTGTGTGTGTAAAGAGAGAGGGGGGGCTGTCGTACCTGTCCATGATCACACCGTGCGGGATGAAGACGCAGTCTAAATCTCCGCAGTAGTGCGCCGGGTAGCTGAAGAGGTCCAACTCGTAGCCCGGCCAGTCGTCTTTAATCTGGGGGGGGGGGAGGTAAACGCACACATCACGCGGCCTCTTTAAGGGTCGTTGGACACAGACAACGCGCCTCTGCAGAAACTACACGCACGCGGTGAATGAACAGAGTCGAGCTTTTCGTTTGTTCCCGTGCAACACTTATTCTTCACCCCGGTTCCCTCTTACCACAATGCCGCCGCTTGTTCCCTCGGGTCGGGCGGCGGGTTCTGCCATGTTGGTTTTCTGCACACACACACACACTCACACACACTCACACACACTTAAAAGTGAGTGCGAGTGGAAGCGGCGCTGGACGCCTCGCGGAGAGGAGGAGGAGCGTCGGGCCGGAGGAATGTTCCCTGCAGCGAGGCGCAGTGCGCTGCTGTGACCGCTGGGGGCGACCTGACTCCGCACCGCGAGGACGCTCCTGTCTGTTGGTTCGACTGGTTGATGCAGGCAGAGGTCCTGCTACTTTGTAATCAAAGTAATAGTACAACATAAAGAATAGTTGATGGCAACTCGTAGTTTACTGGGATATTTAAATGGTCTGCTAATTTAAATTTCTTTGCAACAAAGTCCTTTTTACTCTTCTGCCTTCATTTGGCAGCTTCCCTTACTAGTTACTTTACAGATTAACTATTTAACATGTAATCAACGAATAAAAACGGATGTATTATTTAGGCTAAAGGTGAGACTTATTAATGTATTGATATTTCAAGCTGCTCAGAATAAAATAGTTAAAAAAGGTTTGTTACCAGTAGCAACATTAATGTGATATTATAAAGTAATAACATATATTAATCTTAAATTAGCCATTGTGCATACTGTATTATTAGCATATTGATGCTAATAATTTTTTACCTTTAGTGGTAACAGAATATTTCTACAGTTCATCTTCTTTTACTTAAGACCAGAGTATACCTCCCACCATTAAGTCAATGATTAATAATGACAATATTAATTAACAATAAAAACAGTATTTTTGTAATATTCTGTTGATGCTCATGTTACCTTCTTGCCTACAATTGAGCTATTCAATCTATAGAAATATATTGTGTTCTAGAAGCTTCCATGTTTCAGATGTCTTCATCTTCAGCTGGCATCTACACTGTTTTTGGAGTTGCACAAGCATAAGAAAAGACGTTTGACAATCAAACCAATCACTAAATTCCTACCAGGAAATAATTACTTGTTAGCTTTCCACTTTATTGGAATTACACCTTCAACTTGTGGGTGTTTTTGAAGAAACACGTTAATATTGCCCTCTAGTGGGAATGGCCACAACCTTCTGGCCGGTTTGTCCACTGCTTTTGTCCTGCTCACATCATACTCCCACACGTTTATGTGCATTCAATCCATCGTTCTCAAACCCCGTCTCATCCCGTCTGCCGATGCAAGACCGAAAAAAAAGAGCCGACAGTCTGCAAATTAAGAGGTGCACGTGCTGCACGCCGTGCCCTGTGCAGAGTGGAATCTGTGTCTGCGTCATATTGTGTAAATGAGTCCGTGTAGGACGAACCGCCCATGTGGTCAGTGAGTCCAGCAGCTGCAGCAGCATTAGCATTAGCAGCATTAGCAGCAGCTGTGGGGGCCGTGTTGTCACTGCACATTAGACCAGTCTGCTGGGCTCCGTTGAGGGGGGGGGGGACAAGGTGTCTGACCCCTCCACCCGCAGTCTTCTACGGCAGCTGTAATTATAAGCAGTGGCACAACGACAGCTGGGGAGGCAGATGTCAACGGCAGCGTTAGATTTCAGTCAGCGTGCACTGTGTCACCCCCCCGGAGGAACGAGGAGGTGCTCAAACACACACTTGCGTGGCAAAATCCCCCCCCCCCCACCAAAAAAAAAGACAAAGAACAGTTTTCAATTACAACTTATTTCACAGTTTGAGTTTAAGGTGCCGACGCGGGCGGCTCGATGTTGTGATAATCGCGCTGATGAAGAGAAGGCCGGAAGATGTTTCTGGATGAAGTCTTGTCACATTTGTTTTTGATGCCTCCGTTGGGCGCGAGCGGCCCGGCTGCTCCTGCGTCGCCCTCCAGGCGCAGCGGGGCAGTCGGGCCTCGCCATTTCACACTCGCTCAGCAGTCAAGGCCTGTGAGCGTCCACAGACTTTACAGGCAACTGCTCCCCTCGCCCGGTCGCCCCCCTGTTGTTTGGCCAATTATGAATATTCAGTTGCTATGAAAGTAATTCTGTCAGACATACAACTGTCCGGCCGGATAGTGTCAGCGGTGTTGTTTCTGGAATTTGAGTGGAGGATCTTTCAAGGATGTGACTGTTCTCTTCCTTCCGATTCGGGAATATGACAAAAACGGTAAGGTGACCTAAATCTATACAAAATATATTGGACATTTCCTTCTCGTGTATTCCTCTGTGCGATGGACCTCTATTGCTGTCAAAACCAGCTCGCACATCAGTGAGCCGCGTTGTTGCACTGAGTGTGACAAACACAACATTCAGGGTTGTGTAGCCGGTATTTGCTCAGAATTTAAACTGTGTCGAGCTGTTTAAAAAATAATAATAAGGTAACCGCAACATATTTGTGACTAGTTTATATATATATATATACTAGTTGACGTTTGCACAAACACACCATGACACCAGCCTTTTGGGTTAGTTAGAACAAGCGGCGTTATCGCTCGGCCGCGCACTGGTGCAGACATCGCTTTAAAACAGATTGAACAGATTCAATTGTCAGGTGAGAATAGAAGACGTTTAAATCCTTTCTTTCTTTTTCTCCGCTGTGTTACATCAACCTGGATTTCGTTTAGTGGCCGTATGTTTGTGTTGTGCATGTGCACCAGCATGTAGGGAAGCAGCCGTTACTGAAGTCAAGGAGCACACAGAGGCATAAAGGGGTTGATGTCTACTGGCAAGATCTAAACCGTGATCCACAACAACAACAACAACAACAACTTGATTTATCAATCCAGGGACTGTGATCACCATAAGATGCCCAGAGTGACGCCGAGCAAAAGGAAAGAAGCGTTTCCTCTCTTGTAAACTCAACAATAAAAAACCTTCTGTATTACATATCATTTTTAATGTGTTGAAAACCTTTTCCAACAAAGCAAGTCAAGCACAACGGTGCACATAAACACATCTGGCAAAGTTCATGAGCCGATCCACCGGAGTGGGTGAGCAAAAAAAAAAAGAGTTAGTAGCCTACATTAAGCATACCATAAAAAACAAAAGCAAATACAAAGAAGCCACACAACATAAAAAAGTGTCTATAAACAATGTTAGACTGCTCAGAAAACACATTATCAGATTTGTCCCTTCTTTAGTGCTTGATGGGAAACATTTACAATGTTCAGAAATGTTTTATACTGAAAGAAAAAATCAGTATAAAAGCACGGAGACAAGCATGAAATCAAATGTTTACATTTTTTATGTGGTCAATTCTAGGGTTGCTAAAGCAGTACCAGCAGAATGCTATTGTTTAATACTTATTTAAACGACCAGAAGAGGATATCATTCATTAAAATGGGGAACATAAAGCATTATCTTTACACTTGTTCGAGCCGAGCAGCAGTTCAGGTGCATCCAGATGCTTGTTTCCTGACGATGATCAGCGGCTACGTTCTGAAGCATTTCTGCATCTGTGCTGCAGGTTGAGGAGAAAGCATCCACCATAAAACTCCATTAACATAATGACTTCCCTGTTTAAGTGGATTGTGGTTCATGTACTGAAAAACAAACTCGGTTACAGACGCTCTTGACAAACTTTCCCTTCCGTAGAAAGTGATATTTCTTCTCGTATTTCATTTGATGGGACAGTGTCACTCATTTGATTGTAGCACCAGAGCTGAATGACAGAACACGGTCATTTAAATGACGACTACATGATGACTTCTTTTTCGCTTGTTTTGGATGAATCAGCATTTTGCCATCGGCACAAACTTTTCTTCTGTGGTGATGGAAAATATTGAGAAATATCATGAAGCATTCAAGTGGATTAAAGAAAGTTTTCTCATTGTCCGGCGTCCAGCAAAATTCCTGTTTTCTTCTCTCACTGCGTCAGTGAATCCTGCAGGAATTCTGCCACTGTAACTGTACCAACATGCTGCAGAACCACAGCCAGGCCTAAAAAATATAGCTTTTAAGTTGTTTATCCTCCATCTTAATGAATGATGTCCAGCTTGTCCGATTTGATGACAAGTATTTATTTATTGTTTTACAGATAACATACTTCACAGGGTTACCTTAGAGGTAAAATCTCCTGACAGGACTCAGTTTTGACTCGTCGGAGACAGAGGGGGAAGATGGACAAGCACACATTGTAAACAACTGAGCAATATTTAGGTCTAAACGGCGTACCATAGAACGGGTGAGAGACAACAAAATGTAAGTAAGAAGATGCGCCTCTTCCTTGCAAAGACAAAAGTTTCATTTTTACAAAACAAATAATGGTCACTGACATATTTTTTCTACTTTTTTTAGTGGCTGAGAGGTAGAATGACATATTTTCACCTAAAACCAATGATTTGATTCATTTACTTTATCATATCATTTCATCATTATGAGTGAAAACATTACGAGTGAATAAGTAACCCCAGCCCCCTGAATATAATGTGAAATCTGTACAAACGTCTCCATTGATATTGTTTGGATTTTAACTGTATCCCAAATGTCCAACGTCATAAGCAGAGGAAATATTACGTGTTTTTTTTTTTTTCTGGTTGGGAATTCACAGTACCTCTTCAAACTGTGGTGCATTGAATCCCTTTGTTTAACACTGTAAATAGCAAGGTCAGTCCGTGGGGTTTTTGTGGATGCGATGGAGAGACGGATGTATTCAGTTGGAAGTATCCGAATGAACGCTTCCGGGTCCTTCTGTGGGCGATGTCACCGACGAAGGAGTCGGAGCATCTTGCCAGCCGCCGTTTGTCTGTTGGGAGAAGACGGGGGAAAAGTCAGCTCCATTGTGACACTGCGTGTGGTACGGCATCGGCATTAAAAAGGATCAAACCGAAACAAAAGAATGGCTCCCGTGTGGACGAAGCCCAACGCGTCTCAGTATGTAGGAGACAACTTCGTACGGCGTCATATACATTGAGCGTGTTGTATGTTCTCGCACGTTCTTTACTTTCTTTATTCTGTACTGCATCTGCTCCTCTGCCCGTTGAAGGGTTAGGGTGAGTGTTTCCTGTGCTGCTGTGAGGGTTTCGGAGCAGAGGATGTCACATGTGTTCACATTGTAAAGCCCTCTGGGGCAAATTTGTGATTTTGGGCTTTAGAAAAATAAGATGAATTGAATTGAGTCGGTATATTTAGTCGGCTATTACTGACTACTTTACAGTCTGAAAAATGGACAAATACTGTTTTAAGAGACTCTTCATTTGAAATATCACCCTGCCACTTCCCCTCGTCGGCTGACATAATGTGAGATAAACAGAAGAGATGAAACAGAATACGCAGACCTTTCATATATCCCAGAATACACCCCTGAGATGGTTGATAAAAAGAATAAATTATCACAGTAAAGAAAGATAGCTCGTTATAAACGGAGGCCTTCTCAAATGATGATAAAAGGTCGACTGAAGACCATTAAGGACATTAATTGCATTTTCCACGCTATTAGTGAGAATGGTGGACGTGCTTTGGCAGCCTCTTATTTTCAAACCCTGTTATTTGGTGAAAAGCCTGCCTGTCATCTTATTCAGAAGCAAGAGGGTGAAAAAAGAAAGAATGAGAAAAAAACAACATTTCCTGTCTCCGAGAGAAGCGACACCCACCAGCAATTTGAGGGGTGTAATTGCTGTTCAAGGATAAAGGAGAGGTGCACAGGTTCAGTCAGTGGTGGATCTTAGGTAGAAAGAAAATGTCATCTGGGATAAATAAACACTTAATTCACAGGCTTTACTGAAACAGTGTATTTCTTATGAAATAACTCTTACAGAATTGTATCATCATCACAACTATAATTGTTTTTATTGTTTTCATTTGGCCCGTTTGACAGCCAAAGAAATAAACCGTCACAATCAGTCTGAACCATAAATGCTACTTTTTCTTTTGTTCGAATTCATCACTGATGATATTTCTTTATTTCTCATGGTGCTTCATTTCTGATTTTTATAGTATGCCCTATGACTATATATATATATATATATATATATATATATATATATATATATATATAGTCATAGGTCATACTCATCAGTTGGTCAAAGCGCTAAACATCCCTTTCTCTCAAAAATCTGTTTGTAAAACAAAAGTATAAATCTATTATATTTCACAATAAAACTGATAATACGTTTTTTATTTGGGGTTTAGAATAATTCTTTGTAGAACTTGAAAAAGAAAAAGGTGTAATTCCTAGTTTTGTATCATGAAGTAAACTTAATATTTATACCCAGATGGTTAGAAGAGTGGTATGTTTTTTGATTTCTGGTATAACAATCTCTCGTTTTTTAAAAGTTCCCCGGCTATTTATCTATTGCCGAGTCCAACTTGCTGCAAACACTAGTTTGGAGGTTAGTTCTGGTTTTGCACTTTTTTCTCCCATTTCACGTTGAGCCCGTCGTACGCCGCGACTGGCCTCACGCACCACGCTCTTATTTTAGCGCGAGGGGTGTTGCCGGCTCGGCTGTCAGTGCTGCTGTTCCTGTGGATGGATGATCTGACCAATGCGCTTGGACTGTTAGCCCAAAGCCCCGCTCTTTCTGTCCCCGTGACTGTCGTATTGATTCTGTTCCCCCCCCGTGCAGCCTGTCGCTATGGATCTACATGCTGACCACACTGCCTGCAGTGTTGCCTGTCCCGCCCCGGCCGGCGCCCAGCATGGAGACCTAGGAAACAGCCCCGGCCCCTGTGACAGGCTGGTTAAAGAGTTATTTTAAGAAATAGCAACCTGGAACCTTTTCTGGGGTGGAGGAGGAATGGGGGGGGGGTATGACTTGTCCTATGGTGCCAATTTGAGAGTAGCATGGAGAGGGAGGACGCCACCTGTGTCCTTGTTACTGCAGGTGTCTGACTAACGCTAATACCCTCCGACAGGCCGAGGAGCTCGTCCCGCTCCTCGGCCTGGTCGCTGCCTCATTGCCTGCCACATATAGGGCAGGACGGGAGCAGGGGGGGGGGGGGTCAACTGTGCTGGACAACAGCCCAGCTCCGGTAGACTCTACTGCCAAGTGGCGTCCTAGCGTCACCCACAGCATTACGCGGTGTACACGTTCTGAACCACCGCCTGGGCGACACAGCGCTGAGGAGGTAGGAGAGGAGAAGGGGGTTGTTTACAGGTCTTACGTTGATGCCCTGTGGACTGTACATCTGGCTGGCTGCGAGGCTGTCACTGTATCCTCCGGTCTGGCTGATAACATGGCGAAGGGTATCCACCTGGAACAACGGGGACACACAAACAAAAGGCCTGGTCAGACAAAAGCTGTGGATAACAAAGACAGCCGTGCACACAAGGAAAGGTCAGTCTGATAGTAAAAGGGTAGCAGGAACAGGAAAAGGTTACAAACAGTGAATCAGGATGATTTCACTGCCGTTACGGGCTTGATAACAGACGCTGCAAATGGACAAAACACGAGGAAATAGACCAGAAGTCCTTATGAATGCCTTTGTAGTTGTGGTAAAACAACATGTCAAAATCAGACATTAAACAGACTTTGCAACTCGTCCTTTAACTTGTAGCTGACCACTACTTACAAGATTATTCCGTGTATTTGCAGACAAACAGACATTTTGCAATGAGTGTCTGCGAATACAAATACAGCACGGTGCAGCTGAGGTCACATCGAACATTATTTTGTTTAAAAAGTTTGATTGCAATTTTGTGTTCTTCACAGATTAACTGGAAGCTGCTTCGTAGCTCCTGGCAGAGCAGCCCGTCAGGTTATGCATGGGAACACACCTGCCATATGGAACTCACAACAAGTAAGAGTTCTCCACTCGGCGGGCCAATTTTACTCAAAGTGCCGCGCGCTCACTTTTAATTGCACAGCCGCCGAGAGCCGAGGCCGTTCTGACATCCCCAGAAACATAATCCCCCTTAAAGTTACATGAGTTTCAATAATTAACGGCCAACCCCGAAGACTCTCCACCTCGTGTGAGGGTTGTCCTTCTGCATATTCATGAAGGACCTAAAGCACTTCAGCAGAGCTGATCTGAATGGAAAAGGGGGGCAAGGGTGGGGGGGGTGGAGGGACAGCCGAAATGACGCCAAAAGCTCCGAAACCAAATCTGAATATCACCATGGGTGGTGATTCCTTAATCTGTGGTGAGAGCTGTAACACGCAGGAACACTTTGCTGGTCACCACTGTCCACTGGGGCAAGGTCAGGGAGCGGCGGTGCACCAGTGGCTATGTGAACTCTTGTCAGGAGGCTGATGAGTGTTGCACCGTTTCCAAAACTGTCTGCAGTCGTCTACTCAACCGCTGGGGTCGACAATGGCTTCGGCGTTAAAGAGTAAAAGCCTCGGGCTACGTGTAACCTTTGCCTCACTGTGTAGGTCAAGTTATCCCGGGCGTCTGCACTCCCGGACTGGACAGTGGCTGCGCCGTATCACAGGCCATGCCGACGGTGTGTCGGCTTTCGTTCACTGAGCTTGGAGAGGCGCCTACCTGGGATTGTATGTTGGCCCCAACCTGCCCCCCTTGGTACGAGTCCCCATTGAGGGACTGCACACTCATGAACAAGTCTCCGGAGTTTGACATGTTAAAAGAGCCGGCGGAACCTGAGAATACAAAGAGGCAGAGAGGAAGAAAGGAAGGGAGCCAGAGAGGAAGACAAAGAAGAGGCAAGAGAGAGGAAGAGGTACCAAGAAAGAGGAGAGGAACAGAAAAAGGAGTTCAAATGATCGTGCATGAGCAAAAGAGGGTTAGTATTATTAAGCGGGTTAGTTGATGGCTGCACGCGTCATGAAAAGAAAAGGCTTTTTTTTTTTACAAAACATGCATCACTGAGCCATAATTCAGAGGGAAAAATCAGCCGGCAAGAACCATGAGACAGATAATCATCAAAAACCTGTTTAAGTCCAGTTAAAACCGGCCACATGGATTATATTGTTGTTAAATGTCTGTGCTGATAGTGTTTCATTAAGGAAGTAACAATTGATCCGCAGGAAGACCCAAAGAATCGCCTTGGTCCTTTAATGGAGCCCAGCTACCCAGATGTAAAGAGACCATCTCGTAACCTGATTTCAACACCCGGTCATAATCCAATACACTCGCAAAGCCTCTATATGACAAAGGACTCCGCTTGCCCTCCCAGCAGCTTAATGGCATGAACAGGGTCAACCGGACAAGAGGCAGGAAAAATTAACGTCCACAAGAGCGAGAGGTCAATAACAGAGATGGGGGGGGGCGGGGGGAGAGGGGGGAGGGGGGAGAGACGACAAAGGCTGCGACAAAGACAAATACTGGGAGAAGAAGAGCAAAAGAAAAATCTGCATCGTATTACTGAGTTAGTTAAAGAGAAAAAAAGGGCCTTCTGATAGAAAAAAAAGCACCACAGAGTGGAAACCTTTTGGCGGGACGGGTCTACGTGTTATCTGTGAGGGTTACTTCCATCGGCTGGGCTCACCTGCTGAATTGGGGGTGGACGGGGAGTTGGCCTGGCTGCCGTGAGCGGACACGCTGGTGGCGCTGACCGCGGTCCTCGCCGCGTACATGTTGGCTTCCTCCTGGAACTTGCCGATGTTTTTCTTGTACCGGATTCTCTTGTTGCCAAACCAGTTTGATACCTGCCAAACAGGCGTTGACACAGTTGATGCAGTTGTCGGGTTGCAACAAAATTCAAGCGGACACGAAAGGAACCAAAGGAATACGTTTGGTAGCATTCAAATGTGCAGTGTTGATGGATTTTCATTTCCTTAGCAGTCTAGGCTGCTATGACATTCTTGGTCTCCACATGGAATTGTGCTAGCAGCAGTAATACATCAACACAGAGATGCGTTTTTGGAAATGCTACTTGGAAAGAACCCAAACTACAGAATCCTGCACTATTGACGCCAATAAAAGTCTAATCTTATATCCTGCAAGGCCCGGTGTGAGGGATCAAACTGCCACTGATTTGGATTATTTTTGACCAAACCACAGCACAGCAGATTGCTTGGTTCCTTTGTTGTTACCTGCGACACTGTGATGCTGCATTTCTTAGCCAGCTCTTCTTTGGCCTCCTCGCTGGGATAGGGGTTACTGAGGTGGGAGTAAAAGTACTCGTTCAGGATCTCGGTCGCCTGTTTGTTGAAGTTCCTCCTCTTTCGCCTGGAAGATAAAAAATGGGGGACGGACAAAATAGAGATTTATTTAAAAAAGAAACGTGTTAAACAAATCACTCTCCATTTAAATCAGGATAGTTAAATATAAACAGCGCTGCAACACTAAAGAACGAACGGTAATTAAAAGCTCCACAAATGCATTTATTTGAACGTAAAAATCCAGCTAAACACACGATAGAATCCACCTGGGCCAATATTAACCCAAATAAAGAGATATTTCTGAAAATAAAAAGCCCATCGGAGCAGTAAAGGTCAGTCATGTCAGTGTTGCACACACACACACACACACACACACACACACACACACACACACACACACACACACCTGGCATCGAGGAAGCGCGAGCGCAGGATCATGACGGCCTCGCAGGTGCTCTGTTTCAGCTGCATCTGGATGGAGCTGAACTTGCGGTGGATGATGCTGACCATGCGCTCGATCTCTTTGGGCGAGATGGGTCGGGTGCGGGACTGCTCCCTCAGCAGGTTCATCACATGGGTGGTGAACTCATTGCACGCCTGGATGCACAGACAGACAGGATTCATAAAAAGAGGAACTATCATGGAGGCTCAACGCCTTCACACAGAACAAAAGGGTGAAATTGGATTCGGCGCCTTCGCTGGCGGGCCTCTGGCCGCGTGGAAGTAGTTCTGACAGTATAACGGGCGCTGGAGGTAATAAAAGTAGTCTAGATTAAAGCAGCCCACACCGCGCGCTGTTTCACGCCCAGCAAATGGAGCAGTGGAGTCGTTCAGTGGGGGCTCTGAACACTAAAAAGACTTTTCTTCAATGGAAGAGAAAATGTGACATGTGAAGAGAAATCTAAGATGACAGCCTGCTTTCAGTCCCGTTAACGTTCAAGAGGTTTAAACTGTCTGCCTCTCTCTTTTTACTCCGTCGTTCAGTCCACCTTGTTCTGTCTCTGTCTGAATCCGTCACTGGATATGACGGCGTTCAGAGTCAAGGTGTCTGTTGCTTGTCAACACCGGGGTTACGTCAGTCAAAGTGATGCACCGAGCAGCCGTTCTGCTCGCGCGCACACGCGCCAGGCACTACTCACTCATACGCGCCGCCGCCAGGCGTACGCGCCGCGGTGACACAAAAATGCTCAGGTGTGTATCGACTGTGACAGTAAGCGACGACCAGCCGTCCTCGGAGAAGATTTGACAAACGCTTTGACTTCTGAGGGAATGACAAGACGTTACAGTCTTTGCAAAAGAGCTGGCGTGTGACCGACGTAATGGCTGCTCGCCTGCTGCAGATAGCGTCTCTGAAAGCGCGGCGTGTCGTCAGCTGATTTCTAGTGCATTATACTTAGTTAAGAATTCTCTGGGTAATGGTCCCCCGTCCTTTGTGCCAAAGTATTCCTATTTAGGGTCAGACAGAAGTTCCTCCAGCGTGCATTGGACAAAGACTAATCACTCTCATTCTCTTAACTCAGGGAAATTTAGAGTCTTCAATTGAGGAAACAAAGGACCTTCAGGGGAAACATGTCAACTCCATAAAAAAAACAGAGGATCAATACAAAGTATTAATGTCTCTCTTTTTTCCTGCATTTATCCGTTTTATTTTGTTACCATAGAACAGGACGTGTTCTTTTTGCCTGCTCCTCTCTGCAGTGAGAGGTATCACCACTACATCTTCCGTCTCCTCCAAGAAGACAGTAAACACGTTTGCAATTGAATTATGTCAAGCCACATATTTTTGCATGTCAAAAACGTAACATATTATAAAGTTTAAAATCACTGACATTTTTTTTAAAGTTTTGCCTCTGTCCATATCCACCACCAGTCGGGACGATGTCCAACTTTTTCAGTAGTTGCACATTTAAACAGAAAAGAGAAATTTACAATTACAACACATCCTGCAGTTGAACACCTGCGTAGTGGGAGGATTTTGGAAGAGGAGAGAACATGGACATGAACTTTCTCAACTGTCATGAAATAATATTTGGAGTGTAAACACTGAGGTACAACAGGGCATTCCACAAACATCGATTGTGACACAACAGTCAGTGTGTTTACATGATGGTATAATTCGAATCTTTGCTTAGTCGGACTGTGCGATCTTTCGGGGGGAGGTGCTATTATCCCAATATACACGGCAGTGAATAAATAGAATCATTGGCCGAAAGCACGTCATATCTGATACGATAGGTGGCGCTGTTTTCATTACAGGTAGTGGTCATACAGCCATTTCCGCTTGACCGCTTCACCACTACCAACAACAACATTAGGAGAAAGATGGCGAGCGGAGAGCGAGGTGAAGCTACGTCCCTCTACTATGTGTGCGTGATGTTAATAGGAGCACAGCGAATGGCGCTATCGGCTGATTTGATAACGGAGAGAAGACGCCGTCGGGATCTCAAGCATGCGCAAAGACGCAAAGTCCAGTTCCTCATCCGATTCACCGTCACATGCCGCAATAGTTTAACTGGATCGGACCGAGTTATCCAGGCGTGTTAGTCGGATCGTAGTCGGACCGCACGTAGTCGGACAAAAGTGTTTACGTGAAACGGATCGTTCGATTTCAGTCCGACTAAGCCAGTTATTCGAATCCATGTAACCACGCTGACTCAAAACAGTGCTGGCTCATTCCTAGAATGGGGGGGGGTTGTATCACGGTCTAAAATCCACATTTACGGTTACATGCGTTTTTTTGTCTTTCTTTCCAAACATGAATGTGTTATAAGAGGCTAAACAGCAGAGAATAATAACTGAGAAAGTTCTCTTCCTCCCCACCTGCTCGTATTTCTCCAGCTCTGTGTGGTAGATTTGTCGAATCTGAGACAGCTTGGCCCGGTAGTCGGTGTGCTCTACTGAGTTGTCGGCGCCGATGCCGCCGGTGGCCGCGGCAGCGGCCGCGGCGGCCGCCGACCCGCCGCCTTTCTCGGGCCCGGCCACGCCCTCCGCCAGCAGCATGTTGTCTAGTCGCATCAGCTGAGGATCTGGCGGCTCCTCCTCCTGGGCGCCACGGATACTGAGCACTGTGGAGGACAGGAGAAGATGGCTGTTTACCTGGCTGCTCAAAAGGAGGAGCACGATCATTCTTCTGTGACTGAAAGAGAGTCTGGACTCCGGCGAACCAAATGAACTCCCTGAAATATGGCCGTCGATTTTTAATAGTTCAAGTCTGGGCCGTAAAACCCTGCAGCGGCACGGAGGCTGGCAGCTCGGCAGGATCATAAAACTATCATTTCGTCCACTCTGACTCGTGTAAAACAGGAAATATGTTAACGCAGTTCATCGTTCATTGTTCCCCTTGTGCCTCCAGATATGTTAGCTGGCCTTAATATCGTCTCAAACAGAAAAGTAAAATAATAACCACGGAAAAAGTATAATAAAGATTAAAATTCCTCATTTTACGGTTAATCATTTAAAAAAAAAAAAGATCTCATCTTGGCACGCGCCGTTATTTTCCATTGCCTCAACAAAATAAATACTTACTAAACTACCACACGAGCATCACACCTGGAACAACAGGGCTGTCTTCATTTAGCAGGACTGAGGATGCTTTTTACGACTGACTGTTTGGGCCTTTTGAACCTGCACATATTCACCCACCCGCAGGCACCAAGCTCCTAACTGACCCTCAGCTCCCATTGTGCCAACACGACAACGACTGTCAGACACGCACAACAAAACATGTAGTATTGCACACGTCCACCGACTCAGATGTTCTGAGATATAACATGTGACCAAGTCTCAATCTGTGCAAAAAACGATTTGAATCCAGCCAGTCCAACTACATCGTGGAGTAACAAACATGCAGGTTCATCTGCGTGAGGTTGCATTTAAAGAGGAGCTTGCAGTGCCCTGCCTCTTTCTGCCACCAGAAGGCTCCCTCGGTAAAGCAACTGCCTGTCCTGGTTTTCCTCTGAGGTGCTGAGAGCCGCCGACCAGGTGCAGCCTCCATTCCAGCCACTGTCTTCAAGGACAAAGACGAAGCTCGCGCCGCCACGACATCTAATCCGTGCAGCATTCAGACCGTTTCAGGAACATCTCGTACCCCCCCTGCATGTCTCACGGTGGCCGTAGAAGGTGAGGAGCAAGTGACAGGCTGTGTTGACGGAGCAGCAAAGACACATTGTGGTCCACAGTCCCAGCGACGGCTCTTTTGTAACGAGGACGTAAGGTGGAGTCGCCCTGTGACCTTTGTGGCGAGCGGGGGGTCCAGATGGGTTCCCGGGGACGCACGAGGAGCTTGTCTACCCTGGTCTTCCTCTTCGCGACCCTCCCCCTTCCTCCCTTCCTCCCTTCCCCAACTCCTTTTTCCTTGCCTCTTTTTTTCCCCTCCTCTGGCAATAACATCATCCATTCCCATCAGCTCCAACACGTGAGCGGGCTCAGCTCAAGAGCCAAATGTCAATGGCTATCAGACGGCTGCAAAAGGTCAGGAGTTCAGACGGGGAGCAGACGCATGTGTGCGTGGGAGCGTGTGCACATGTGCTGCTGGATGAGAATGTGGGGTATTTTTCAGGTAAATCACACCAGCGGGAAATTATAACACTCGCCAATTTCCTTTTGACGAAATAGAGGCACATCCCGACCAGAGGGGGAATAAAATGAGCCTAAGAGTGATTTATTCATTCCCTCCCAAGTCTCAGAGTGCACCACTAAAAGCATGAAATGGATTAAATAAATACAATTAATAAGGAAAATCACTAAGGAACAATTCACTGTGCTGTGGCATAATTACCCCAACCAAAGCCATCAGCTTTATTTATTTCTGTTCGGTAATGGCAATGAAATCGATTAGACCTTGATGCCAGTCCGAGTGCTCGTTGTGGACCCTGAAACCAGACCGTACATTAACGTAACCACTGACGGAGAGGAGGACCCTCTATTACAATACATCACATATTCAGACCCCGTCATGCACACCTCCTAGTCTATTACTGTACCAACAAAGGAACCGGGTCCGTCCTGCCCTGAGATCCCCTTATTCCAGGGACAGCCACAGATTGCTATCTATAAAAGGACGATGGGTATCGTCTCATCTTGATCATTACCGACAGACTTAATTGAACAATGAGAGGACACAATTCTCCCTCTCGGTCGCTTCCTACCTCCCTCCCTCCCTCCCTCCCTCCTTCCCCCCCTATCCTTTGTGCACGCTCTTGTATAATTCCTTCCCTGAGATGTGGAGCACTAAACCCAAAAAGGCAAGGCATAAAAAATAAATGCGCATCATAACAAATCCCCGAGCCCTTTCCTGAATAATGGATGGAATTCTAAGAATAAGCCTTTGTTTTGTTTATTGACTAAATTAATTTCTGCTGTTTTACTTCCTTAGGGGTAGGCTCATACCCGCCGCCACACGGCCGGCTGTGTGCAGACAACGGGAGTGTAAATAAACGCGGCGATTAAGCTTCCCACACATACAGGGGGAACCAGGGTGCACACACACACACGCACACGCAAACACACAACGCGAACGGACGCTTTGAGCACACAGACACAGCTTTGCACATTGGCAGGCTCCCCCAAGCGCCCGGCCTGGCGCCCTGCGAGTGCTTTTAAATGAAAACATGCTTAATTAATGATGTCGAGGTATTCTGCCGCAATTAGGAAGATTTACGGTCAAACAAGGCAAGCGGCGACGTCCCTGACAGCTAGGATGGAAGTTTACCCTCCTCGCCTCTGACTGGCAGCGAGCAGCCAACGCTGGACTGGATCCATTTCCCATCAATACAGTAATGCAATACACTCCGCAGTTTAGTGTATACGCGCCTTTGTGCGCACACGCCTGCGCGCGCGCGTCCTTCCCTGCCTGCTGCTCGTCCACATCACATGACCCCCAGAGAGGGGCAGGCAGTGGCTGAGCTCCGTATTGATCGTGTGGGCGCACGTCGTCCAGGGTTTCAGCAGTTAATAAATCAGGCCTGCTCCTGACACAACCCTGCGTGTGTGTGTGTGTGTGTGTGTGTGTGTGTGTGCGTGTGTGTGGGCCTGTCACAGGCCAGTCAGCAGGAGTAAAAGCGACAGCCACATGATAATATAACATCACCACCATTCATCCCTGCCGCACAGCATTCTGAGACAAAACAACAACAACCTGGGAACCTGAAAAAGAAAGCAGCGTGATTTACAGCAGACATGACAAGTATCCCCAGTACACCCCCCCCCCCCCCCTCTGCAGGAAGGGGTTCAGCATCCTGCACTCATCTGCATTTAATGCAAGCCCCGTTCATTGTTTCACACTGACCCGCACACCACAGAGCCGGGCGATGCTATTATCATTACCGAGAACACTAAATGAATATTGTGTTACATTACGTCTAATCTGTATGCGTGGCCATTTCTGCAAGACTGAATCCGGGATTTAATAAAGAATAGGCAATCAGTATGAAATTACTAATCATACCTCGCTGCCGTGAAAAACAATTGGCGTCACTTGAGTCGCGGTGGGCCAGAGACTGCGATAAGTAAAACCAAAAACGCTTGAGTCGATCCGTCAAGACTTGTCACGTGATCCCGCCACGTAGTCACGCGTAGAATTGCGCTCGCACAGGATCTGTAAACAATGCGTGGCGTCAGTGTCCACCCCGGGGGGGCTTCGACCACACGAAATATTCTTGTGAAATGGACACAAAAATGTTATTGAGATTGAAACCCTGCCCTGACTTTAAAGGGTGTTAGTATGTAACACTAGAACTGATAGAAATCTAATCCCGGCTCTTATAGAGGAAGATCCGTCTTCTTGACGTTACTGATCGTCCAAATATCCAGTGAAAACGCTGCCGCCATGTCAACTTATTTCCAGTCTTAAAATGCTCCGTACTGCAAGCTGCAGACTAGATTTGTGATCTATCCATGAACTCATCTGAAACTTTCTCAGGCCCAAAACGTTCTCTCCATCGCCACGAAAACGGGGAGCTGCGCGTCCTCGGTACACAAGGGCATCGTCGTGAAGCAGCTCAATGTCTTATCAGCCATCTTAAGTATCGTGTGCAGAAAGGCTCGGGTGTCGTATCTGACACTGGGTTGGGGGATGGGGGGTCGGGGGGGGGGGGCGGCACCACGGACAAGGAAAAGCACCGAGGAAATACTGGGGGGGGGGACAGAGAGGCCGAGATGAGGAGACGAGGACGGTGCAGGCAAGGAGGTGAGAGAGTGATGGAGGGAAAATGAAAGGCGAAAAATAGAAATGGAATGGGAAAGCGAGGTGTCAATTAAAAAAATGAACCCCAGCGCATTTTGGAGGTGACAGCTGGTGGGAGACGGGCTGACAGGCGTCACATTAGGCGGATTTGGTGGCCGCTCCCCTCATCCCCTCCTTTTTTTTCCTTCTTTTCTCCCTCCTCTCCCTCTCTGGCTTTCTCCACTGGCCGTCGGAAGTGAGGCACGAACTCAGCTTGGTGTTTTTCAGAACAAGTTCCCCCTGCAGCTACTCCTAATAACGGTAATTATCTTCATCATCTGAGGCTTAAGCAGGCCAGTTTGAGGCCTGGGGGTCCGGCCCGATAATGAGGCAGCCAGCGCCAGAGGAGGAGACCATTCAGAGCACCGCCCCGCCACCAACGGAGAGCACCCCCATTTAAAGGCCTTCATTAAAATAATTCATTATGCAAAAGAGGCAATACATTATGCCTGTAGCTGTCAGGCTTTCTTAGGTGTTTATATATATATATGGAGAGAAAAGGAAAAGACTCAGTACATCACTAACTGGTGATTAATATCATTTCACAAGGGCCCCGTAGAGTTTTTGGACCTGGGATGTCACCATTTGAGTCAAAGACAGGTGGTTTCGTTTGAGTGACAACGACCTCGATCGATCGGAGCTGAACGGGCTGCACGGAAGATACAACACAACTAAACCAAAAACTGTACATCCCAATATTCTGGTTATAGAAATATTAATAATCATTTTTCTGTCATATATATATATATATATTGCAGCACCATCAGCTGTTTGTCCACAACATGAGACAGACCAATGTCACATTGTCTTTTTCAAATAAACAAGAGACATATCTATTCATTG